GTGCCGACGGCGGGAGACCCTCGGGGCGCGCCCCGGCCAGCCACTGTGCACGGGAGCCCCCCGTGCCGCCCAGCGCCAATGCCCGGCCCCTCGGCCTTCAAGCACCGTGTGCCCGGCTCTGCCTGCAGCCCCGGGGCTGGGCCCACGCACCCCAGGGATCAGTAGCAAACGGGCCCAGGGGCAGCAGCATCCACCGCAGTCCAGGCCCCCCACAGTTCCTCTCCTGCTTCCCTCTCCCACCCCCGGCCACGCGCTCCTCGGGCTCGGCCTGGTGTGCCAGCCGGCCAAGATGCCCAGGGTGGCCAGTGCCACGGCCCCCGGGCCACGCGCTGCAGCTCGCTCGCCCACACCAGCTCCTAACAGCACCCGCGGGCACAGGCCTGGGCAGGCACCGCTATAAAACCTCCGTCTCGCCTCGTAAAGAACTGGGAGTGCCCGAAGCAGCCCCGATGCCATTGGCACTGCTGGGCACGGGGCCAAGCTCCTGCCCGGGCGGGAAACGTGGACCCGCTGGTGCCGTGGGCCTGGCCACGCTGGCGGCGATGATTCGTGGGGGGGGGGGGCCCATCCGCTCAGCCCCGCAGACGGAGAGCCGTCGCTCCCTGGCGCCTCGGGTCAGCCCGGCCCCCGCACCCGTGGGTGCTCCGAGCCCTGCTGCTGGCGACGGCCCCGCGGGCACCAGGACCGGCCTGCCCACTGCTCCCCGTGGGCCGCGGGGGTCTGCTAGTGACGGGGGCCCACGCTGGGCGGGCCGGGGGCTCGGGACCACCGCCCACCCGGCGCGGGGACCACGCGGGGCAGGGCGGCAACACCGCCAGCCTCGCTCGGGCTGCCCTACACGGGAGGGGCGTGACCACCCTCGGGGAGCCGCGCACACGTGCGTGTGCCCGTGCCTGTGTGCGTGCCCGCACATACATCAGTGTGAGCCCACACTTGTGTGCCCGCGTGCACATGCAGGTTGTGCCCGCAAGTCTACAGCTGCGGGGACATGTACATAGGCACGCCCGCGCCTGTGTGCCCGTGCCCGTGTGCAGACGTGTGCCACGTCTACCTGCCCCTGCACCCACCTGCGTGTACGCGTGCGTGGGTGTGCCCGTGTTTACAGGCCCGCGTCCCTGGCTGTACATGGGCGTGCCCGTGCCCATGTGCACAAGTATGTTTACGTGTGCGCGCGTGGCCCTGTACGCACACGTGTGCGCGGGGTCCGGCGGGGCACGACCGGCAGTAACCCCGCTAATGTCAGGCGGGGCGGGGCCCGGGCCCACGGCGGCGCCGCGCACACGCGTGGGGTGGGGGTGGGGGAGCGGGCCGG